TCTGTGCTGGAAGCCTTTCCAGTAACTGGTCTTTTAGGTGTTATTCTACGTAATATATGTGTGCACCTTATACGTTTTGGTGTATTAATGTTTGCAGGTGGATAGTCTACATTCCTCTGCAAAATCTCAGAGGCTGTCTACCTTTTTTTTTTTTCTTCTTTTTTTGGTCTTGTCTCTGGTCTTTTGTCTGCTAACAGAGAAGTTGCTGCTTACTAAACATGAGGAAAACTTTAATACTTCCATGCTAGCTGAACAACTTGAGGTGCTATTTTGGCTCAAGGCAAACTGAATTAATGAGACTTAAATGCAGAATTTGCTTAGCCCCCCCAGGTTCACTGACACTGAAGAAAGCTCCTACTGTGATGTATTGGAGTCACAGATACCATAAAATGCAGCACATATTATTTTGTTTTAATCCTCTATTTTCTGGTACAGAATACCATGCTTAGACTATGTTTTCAATGCTAGCACTCCATCTATTACAAACAGAAATACAATTTTCCCTTTCAGCAGATTTCCTTCCTTTTTCTATTTTGTACAATGGGTAAATAACAAGGTTGGAAAGAATGCTTGTCAACTTCAATTTTGCCAAACATGTAAATGTTATAAAAAACAACCTGTAAAAAAAAAGCCCTAGACAAACCAGAATATTTCCACAATTTAAATAAGATTACAAAGATGAACAGATAATTTACAAACAAACTGTGTTAGCCTGCAGCACTAAAATATTTTGTCATGGAGATACTCCAAGTGGAAGAGTTCAGAATGAAAAATAAAACCGCATTCATGCAGACTTCTGTTGTTCAAATAAAGGCATGGAAGCACATAAGGCAGCCATTGGAAGGTTTTATTAGCTGCTGTTTGTGAAAATACAATGCTCAAGTCCTTTGGAGTCCTTTAGGTTTATGTATCTGTGTGAAGCTTTGGGGATTACAATGGAGAACCAGAAGATTGCTCACCTACTTCAGGATTAGATGTTCAGCCAGTGTGCACAGGTTTTACTGGGGAAATATACCTCCGAGTTAGAAGCAGTTTTTTCTTTAACAAGGCAGTTTTGACAGTGAAACACTGAACTAAATAAACAAAACTTCATTCTCCAGTTATGGCATGTTTCTCTATGGGCATGTAAACAAACTTCACCACTAATCTAATTTATATGAATTTCAGAGCTGATAAGATTTTTAAGCTTTTGATTATACTGATAACAGTAAAGCAAGCAACTTGTATACTGACAGTGTTTGAAATCAGATTAACCAGAAAATATATTCACAAAGCTGGTTTGTTAAAGAGAAATCTTTTGGTGCTCTTCTGTGGTAGTTACACATTCATTGGTAGTTACACATTCATTGTCATCACAATTTCCAGCAATGAGCAATGATAATATCTGCATTAACTGTTTGAAAGGAAATAGTAAAGCAAAAATAGATGAGTTGTTCTAACAGACTTCATAAAGAGTACAGGTATGGGGATTGATCCTTTCTAAGTGCCAAACTGGAGATTTTTCATCAAATATAAAAGTTATCTCACCACTGGGAGTCAAATAACCTTTCTTTGTTCAATTTACTAAACTGCATTTTGAAGTGTAAAAAACATTTATCTTTTGAATAAATAAAAATTCTCTATTTCTAGTTGTAATTGTTCTTTTTGGCTTCAGTAGTGAAGGAGGCTATAGTTCCAGAAAGTTGTGTCATTTTTGCCATTGGTGCTGAGGGAGCTAAGAGACAGACTATAAATCAATTTACGCTGTTTAAAAGGGGGGAATGAAATGCATGAACCTTTATTCAAAAATTGTGTCATATTATTATTATTTTATGATTAACTGGAGTGGACATCAACCCCCTTTGAGGTTTCAGTGTTAGCATGATAAAATTCATAGCTTTTAACAAACTGACTGGTTTCAGTATTTTTTCAGTACATTACACATACATGGAACAATACAGCAAGGGGAAGGTCACTCAATTAATCCTTGCTCCAAAGATCTAAGTGGATATGATCATATGCAATACAAAACTAATAGATATTGATTAGTGTGACAGTGCTTCACTGAACAGATTCTCTTGAAAGGAGAGTGGAAGCAATTTGGTATGGGTGGCCTCCTTTGTCCTCTCCCATGATGGTGAGGTAAACAGGACCTGACCTGAGTGCTGCAGGCCCACTATGGCATGACAACGCCCCTAATGCCAACCTAGCACAAATAGTACTGTAAGAGAAAAACATTTAGTGAAGCCCATATGTCACCCTGATTCTTAAGACTTTCTAAAGCCTTCTGAGTTTATATTCTTTTGGAGAACTTTCCCACACAATTTCTGTAAACAACATATTGTTTACATTCTTTTATGGGGGTGGAGAACACTTGATATACTGGTAGTTTGTCCAATGTCTTTGGAGAGGTGGCCCATTCACTCTCCAATCCAATGTCACCTTTGGAAAAGTATAAAAGATGGAGTCAGGTAATAAACTTTCTTCTTTACCTTGCAAATAGCAGGTGGCTCGCGCCGTGCTTTCACGTGTCCTATAGCGACACCCATACATCCCCTAGACCTCCCAAGATGTGTCAGTGTACCCCAGTGCAAGGCAAGGTTGCTCTCCCCACCTGTGGTCATGAGTCACTGCTTGGCATACTTAGCTCCTCCAGTGTAACAGTACTACAAAATTGGTTCCTTTCAGGGTCATAAAATGCTCCTATAAAACAGAAATTAATCTGTTTTACTCCCCAGGACTGTTTATAACTCTGGCCAGACCCAAAATTCATGCAGCTAGGCAGATAACCAGTGCATGCTTAGTTGATTGAATAAGACAGAGTAAGGCTTCTCTGTGCCCCAAGACTTCTCTCGAGAATAAGGAGATGCTTGCCTGAACAAGGACTGAGACCTTCGCACAGGGATACATCCTCAACCCTAGAATTTGGAAAAGGTAATGTTTTGCTGCACAACCTCTAGGTGCTGTCTCTGTTTGTTATCTGCCACTGGACTAATCAAAGCCTTGACAGCTTCACTGGAACCATCACTTGTGAGTGTGTCTGAAAATTCTGGTTAGTGACAGGGGCTTTTTTGCCCTTTCAGAGCAATGGCAGGAAAGAAAACATAGAAACCAAAGAGCCAGAGTTAACCATTAGGAGGCTCTGTGAATCTTCTGCTGAATACAAGGATGAAGGAGGGTAGGGAGATGGAGCTCAAAAATTGTGCAAGACTCTTAGGAAATGCCCGATTCAGTGAAACATGGATTCCTCTGCCTCTACAGTCAAGGCTGACTCAGCCTAACAAAGTGGCTAAGTAGGCCCATAATTTTAATTGTGACAAATATGCTCATCTTTATTGAGATGACTCATGCCCATGCAGTTGCTTAAATACTTTGCAGGTTATGAACCACCACTCAGTCATCTGGTTACTGCATACCCTCGTTTGAAATTCCCACATTGTGAAGGTAGGTACTTTCAATAATGAACACTCTTGGGGCTGTGTCACATGAGATCTTTTGCCTTTTAAATGCAGATGATAGGCTACTAAAAATGTTTCTCTCCACATAGCATTTTTTTGCAGTGCTGCTATGTGCTGCATATGCCAAACTTTCTTCTGTGACTGTAAAATATTTTATCTGGTTTAGGTTTATTATCTGGCCCAGGAAGAAAAAGAAACACCTTGAAATTTGGTTATCACATCTCATTGAGCAATCTTGTGAACATGTTGAACAGATTGACAGTTGTATTTAAATAGAATTAGGTATGGTGAACTCACTTGTTTGAAAGTTTAGTTTTGTAAAGACATAAGCATTCAGTTTCTTGTTACTTTCATACCAAGTATGACACTGACCTCTGCACTTTCACAGAATTCTTATTCAGAATTTCAGTGGAACCTCATTGTTGCTGTTAAATTGTAGCTGTATTTTGTCAAAATATGTTTTACTCAAAATTCTTCAAAACTCTTTGACTCCAATCTGGATCTGCATTTTTCTGTAGCCTTATAGTTGAAAGTTCTTTGTGTTGCACTTGTGGCATAAGCATTAATGTTACAGAATGAACACCCTTTATTCCTGTTTAGACCGAGGTCTGCAAAGTCCGTGTGTTTCTTCAGTGCAAGTAGTTTTATGCGTGTTATTTTTTGGTATGAGAGGACAGGGCACGTATCTGCAGCCTGTCTCTTTTGAGTCATCACTCACTTTACTCAATTGTTCTTAATGAGGCAAGGTAGCTCATTTTGGTGGGTGATACAGGGGAGACCCTGTATAAATTGGCAAAAAAAACCCAGAGTATGAAAACTCAGTCATATTCCTTAAGTATTAGTCACAGAGAAGACGGCTATTTCTCTGTTTTACCTTTTCCTTCTGAACTGAATAAGGAACTTAATTCATTACGTCTAAACGCCATGTATTGACCTCTGCCCTCACCCGATATTCCAGGGAAATCATTCCGGCTCCTAGACTGGTGCAGCTGAGATCTGTCCTTGGTGTGGCGCCGCTTCTCAAATGTCGTTTCCTCATTCCCTCCCTAGGACCAGCAATGCACGGGGATGGCCACGGAGCAACTGGGAAATAATTACAAAAGGCATCTCTGGAAAAGAGGACGAGGAAGTGAAATCAAAGGACTCTGCCGCCTTTCTCGAAAGAGAAAAATACGTATAAGTCCCTGAGCAGATGGTGAGTGTAAACACACCGGAGGGAGCGGAGTTCCTCCGGGGGAAACTCGGACTTTCTCCTCTCCGCTGCTCGCCTCTCGCCCGAGAAGGCCGGGGAAGCTGCTCCGCCCGGAGACACACGGACAGAGCCGAGGAAGCGCACACGCAGCCAGCCCACCCGCACACAGTGCACACTGATCATCCCTTGCACACACACACACAAACGCACACAGCCAGAGACGCTCACAGACACACAGAGAGCGGGGCAGCCCCGCTCCGCGCCGCGGAAACACGCGGCCCGCACCGGCACACGCGCGAAGCACCGCCCCGGCCCGCCCCCGCATCCCTCCCTCCTCTCCTGCCGCCTCCCTCCTCCCCGCCCGCCGCGCACACACACGCAGACACACACACCGGCCGCAACATGACGTGCGAGCGGACGGACTGACAGTGACAGACCGGGACAGCGCCGCTCCGCACGGATTATTCTCCCCGCGCCGGGGCGACGCAGCGGAACGGCGACCCAGTGGGGCGGGGGCGGAGCCGCGCCGCGCTGCCAGGAGGGACCCTGCCCCCGCCGGCAAGCGGCGAGCGCTGCGGGCTCTGGAGGAGCCCGGCCAGGTAACGCGTCCCTCCCGGGCGGCATCGCCGGGCGGGGCCGGGCCGGGCCGCGGGGCGCCGCGGGGTGCGGGTGCCCCGGGGCGGCGGGGCCGGGCGGCCCCACTCGGCAGGTGCCGAGGTGATCCGGCGGGTGTCGCCCCGGGGCGCGGGCGGCCCCCCAGCCTTGGCCTCGCCTTCGCTGCCCGCGGGGCGGCGGCCGCCGGGCGCCCTGCGCCGACCCGCGGCGTGGCTGCGGCGGTGGGGGCGGCGGAGGAGTGGGGCTGCCGGTGCCGCAGCTCCGCGCTGATCCCCGGCAGCCGCGCTCCGGCAGCGCCGGGGGTTTGCGAGGGCGGGCGGTGCGGGGACAGCGGCACCGGCGGCTTTGTGGCGGAGCGGCCGCAGGTGTCAGAGCCGGCAGCGCCGGTGGGGCCGCGGTGCCGCCGGGGTGGCCTGGGGGCATCGCGGGGCTCGTCGGGCCCGGCCTGCGGGGGGCACGGCGCGGGCAGGCGCTGCCTGGTGACCCGCTGGCCGTCGCTCCGACCGCGCTGCTGCAGGTGACGGGGAAGAAATCCCATCCTTTTTTTGTTTATGTTTTTGGCTTTTCTTCTTTCCTTTTCCCCGCCTTTCCCTCAGTGTGTGCGTGTGTTAAGCAGTCTGCAATTAACCAGTGAAAACGACAATAAGTGGTTTCAGAAATGGGAATGGGTAGGGCCCGGCCACTGGCGGTCATGTGTGACCTTTGCCATGGATATGGAGGCAGGAGATGGAGGATGCTGCATGTGCTTTCCAAAATCGCATGGCAAGATGAAAAAGTGGGGCAGATGGTGATGGTAGTGCTTATATGGAAGAGGTTCATGGAAATCCTTTATTTCCTCTAGGCAGTTTTTTGTTTTGCTCCTCCTAGCTAAAGAGGTTGTCTTTGACTTTTGGCAAGGAAGGGATGTTGCTGCAAGTTGTTTTGCAAAGGAACGGGGTTATTTTGCTTTTCCACAGAGAAGAGATTCCTCCTCCCTCCCAGCTTTATGTCTCTGTTTCTCCTCTGGGACAGACAGCAGTAAGTGTCTTGGCATAGACAAACTGCCAGTATGCTTTATTTTCTTACTGCACACAGATATTACTTATAGCTGAATGTAACTAAAAAGGAGACCTGGAGTATTCTCTTATCCCTTTCTATGCTAGATGTGTTTTTCTATCTAGTATATATTGCACTTGAAGCGTTAAACTCTCAGGGGGCACAGAGGTGGGGTTGTGAGGCAAGGTCTTCTAGTTACTTCAAACAATTCTCCTTGCTCATACTTAAGAGGGAGAGAAAGGAACATGTTGTAAAAGCAGCTGAGGAATATATAAAAGTGAAATATTAATGAACTGAAAAAGCTCAGATAGCAAAGACATTGTACCTAATTATTCAGGATGGTTCTTGTCTTCTTTACAACTCTTCGTTGTATGTGTTCCTGTACTACAAACACAGTTGGTATAAAGGATGGTAATGTTTGTATTTATTTAGCTGGAAGTAGTAGTAGTTAATTTTGGTTTTTTTTTTTGGCATTAGTGATCATCTCTGGAGTAGCTTCCTTTAGCTCTGATTTTTGAGGCTGCTGTAAGAAAGGGAATTATTACAGAAACGCTAAAAAATACTCCAAGAATGTTTTCTTGGAAATGTAAATGGGAAGGTCTGACTCAGACCTGGAATAACTCAGAGGAAGAACTAGTCTTGGAAAGTCCTCTTAAGAGACATCATGATGACAACTGAGACATTATTCATCTCTTGCATCCCAGAGAGCAATATCCCATAAATAGGCAGCACTGTCTCAGGAGAAGGTAATTATACACAACTATCCAGGGTCTGCTGAAAGTGAGACATAGAAGCCAGAGGTATTTTCTGCCAACTATTATGAGCAAAATGTGATTCTCTTTATTCCCTGTCCTACAATCTTATCTCAAAGTATGCTCTTAGAGCTAAGTCTATATTAGTGAACAAAGTAATATTCTCATATGTTTGTGGTATTAAGGGAAAGACACTAGTCACTGGGATATGTACAGATAAAATTATTTCAGGAGTTATTTTTGCTTCCTGAATCTTCAGCTCCTGCCACCCTCTCAGTCTACATCCATCTGGCTGGTGTCACCCATTTTCATGCTCTTTGTTAAAACAAGGGTTGGCAGTTCACAGCCTCTTGTTCCATGCAGAGCTCAACCTGCAGGTTGCAAGCCGAGCTACCTGCACCAAGTGTATTCCTCAACATTACATTAGAGTGTCTGCATGCCTCACTTTGTCCCTATAATGCCCTGAGGGATTGCCAGTGGAGTGGCATTTGCTGAGGAGGTCAGGTTTGATGGAAACTGAAATCGTAACCTGGCTGGAGATGAAACAGAATATATTTTGTATTTGTTTATTTGCCTAGGAGTAGATACATGCAGAGCTGAATTTCAGTGTAATCTTCAAACTGCTTACTGTGTTGTGCTCATCTCTGCAGCTACATCTGATTAAAAAGGAGAAAAAAGCCACGGTAGGCTTTAAAAGTTTCTGCCATCTGTCCTGGTGCTTACCCTTTGTTCACCATAAGGATGTATTGTGAGAGGCTAGACAGCCTCCCTATGTGAGGCTAGCAGCCTCTTAGGCTGTTTTTACCTTCTGTCTCTCTTTTGGACTCTGTTCAAATGGAGAAGCATGTGGGACCAGGACAGTGCAGATCCTCATATCCTATGCTTCAGCTGTTTAACCTAGCAGCTTTGGATTTGAGACCTTCTTCTTATTGTGTACCTCTTCACAACAGCTTGCAATGGAGTTATCACAGGGAGGATATCTTGTGGGTCTGTTCTAACAAGGGGAATGGTGTTCTTTCCTGTTCCTCATGCTTGGGATTTTAGTTCCTGTGGAATGGTTTTGCACTGCCTACCCTTGTTAGCTGAGTGCATCTCCAGTTCCCTGCCATGTAAATAACTGTACCCTTTGGGTGCACTCTGGATCAGACTCCTCCTTTGTCCTCATTTGACACTTGACTGTTTCTTTCTCTTGGGGAGAGATTTGAAAGCACAGAAAGAGGGGTTAGATATAGCATGTACTTCTTAGCAGGACAATAGCTTTCCTGCAGCTCCTAGCCTGCTCTCAGGTGTGCATGAATTAGTGTAGTTGAAAGGAATAGGATTACTTAATGACTGTGTGGAGGAGCAGAATGATGTCTTTGGGAGAGCTGAGGAGGGTGCACTATTTACAACAATGTTGTTCATGCTGAAATGCGTCATCTAAATCACATTTTGTTAATGTACTGAGTGTAACAAACAGTGTTATTAAAGCTAGTTAAAGCTAGAGAAAACACTAACATTACTGAAAAGCTGGGTTAAGGTCTCCCTAAATCCAAAAGTAATTCAGGCTGCTAGTGGGTTTTCAGGACTCTTCCCTAGAAAGTACAGATCAGGCAAGTGATGGAGAAGAAAATAATATACAGAGACCAAATTTGAGAGCTAATCCCTGTATTTTTAAACATTCAATGAATAATTCAGCAAAATATTTTAATTATTTAAAGTGTATTTAAAGCACAATTTCTTCAATTCCTGCGGAAATCTTTGGATTTTTCTTTCTAATCTTTTTGGTTCATGATAGATGTTTCAGGTATGGTGTTATTTCCACCCCTCAGGCTATAATGAAATGAAGTATTAGTTCAAGATATGAAATTGTTGATGTTACTGCTTGGGTACAGTTAGGCATGGAGACCTAAAAGATTTTAATTTTATGATTGAAATCCATTATAATAAAGTTGTGACTTTCAGAGAAAAGACTGGGCTTAATTGGAGTTATTCACACAACTTGATGGGAGGAAAGAGTGCTCTTAGAAAACATGATGACACAGTGATCAAGTTTTAAAGGTTTTTGCCTCCACAATGTATACACTAGATCAGTTGTGGTGTGAAAAATGGTATTGGTAGTTTTTTTTATGCTCAAAATACTTTATTTTTGTTTATTGTTTGCCACTGGCTGCAGTAAATGAAAGAAGCTGTAGCCAGTTTAAAAAAACAAAAGAATTTAACATGTTCTTCATGCAATGGGTGTGTAAACTTGAATCTTCATTTGTGTTGATAGGTAAAAGCATGTATGTTCTAAAGGGAATGCAGGACAAGTTGATCACTTCAGTCCAATGAGTGCTACCATGTATGTAGAAATTCTGGCATGAAAATGGAAGGATAATATTTTGGGGGAGATTGGTATCTTACATTCTTCCTGAGGATAAGATTTTGCATGTGCATGAGATGGGTGTGTGGCCTGGCTGCATCATATGTTGCCTTCAGGGAAGGCAAGGTGACCTGGTTACAAGGAACAGCATGGCATCCCGGTCTCGCCCGGGCTACTCGGGCTAACAACAGACACTGACACCAGTGTGGTGGACGGTTGAAAGCGTTTATTATCTTATCTCATGGGTTTAAATAGTCTTGGGGGACTTTGCTACGTCAGGAGGGGTTGGTAGGATCTCTAGGGTTAGTCAGGAGTGGAAAACTACTGGGTTAGATGTGGTTACATTCTTTGGGGTAATGGATAACGTGCTTCAGGAGGAGAGGGGGAAGGGGGGGGGTCTTTCTTTCCGTCACATCCCGGGATCTTCCGTTCGCCTGTCCCCATCTACTACAATCATAGGGATGGCTGTTCCAGATCCAAGTTCTGCCTTCACAACACACCCTCAAAAGTGATTAAAACTGTAGAAATGTAGAACTGGAAGTCTCTGTGAGAGCTGGCTATGTCTGCAGTGCCCAAGGTAATGCAAATTGTATGAGCTAACAATCTTATTCTGTGAGCTCAGGGAATGCTGCTGATCTTCTTTTTGTTTTTTGAACTTTGATAATCCACTGTCCCACATGGCTAAACATATCTAATGATGGCAGCAATTTCTTGGCAGCTGAATTAATTTCAGATTCTGTAACATGACTTCAGATTAACATAAGATTTCTCATAGCTAATGGTGTTTTGGACTCTAAACTCTATTCACAGGAAGAAAAAATCCTCTCTCTAGAAGTATTTGTGTTTTACATCT